CTTGATCATCTGTTCTCTGTGTTTTGACCAGTTGTGGCGTTTTAGTAATGAAATCTTCGATTGCAAAGAGATGTTTCTTTGATGAAGGGTAAGGTCAACACTTTCATGTGGGTATAAGTATAAATGTTTAAAAATGCAATAAGAGATTATGCCGCTCCTGTAAAGTGATGGTAGCAGATTCTCCTCCAAGATCATAACCTGCCTAGCCCTGGGAAGTTGGCTATATTTCCAGGACCACAAATGAATTTCCTCCTGTTAAGCTGGCCTTAAGTTTAGTTAATCAGTCACATTAATGTTCCTGGCATCATCTTAGTGCCACTATTAAACACTCAGTGACACCTTGAAATGCTGATTTTGGTTTTGGTTAACAGATGTTACAACTGGGTTGCTATTTGCGGTTTCCCTTCCTTGTTAGCATCATACTTTCTGGTACTCAACCCTTTTGACTTTGGTGTGATGGTGACTTTTTAAATGACTTCTAAAGAATGTAAACACATTTTTCATATGCTAAACTCAAGCACACCTGTATTTCATTAATCCTAGATTGTACGCCAGATTGGTGGTCACTGAAGCAGAAGTTAAAACAAGTTAAAGGTGAAATATTTAGGACAGGTTGCTTTTGTTTTACATCTATGTGCATATTGTTTACTGGGGCAGTTAATTGTTGATGTTATTCATTATTAATTATTATAAAACTCTTTAGTTAACAGATATATTCTTGTATAACAGTATTATCAACTCATAGTCTTCGACATACTTGTTAGAAACTCTGAACATAGGTGTGGTCATAATACTAAAACATATTGGGTTTTAAAACCTCCAAATATTTGCTTTCCTCTGAGAATTCTGTTACCATGATATGTTTTTAGAAAACATTTCCAAACTCACTTATCAAGAATTCTCATTGAATTAGCCTGGGAAGTCTGAGACACTGCTTTTAAAGGAAATCAGCCAATGTAATAAATGTATATCTGGTTCCTAAGCACGCATGGTGTATAGTAGCTTAATGTGCCACAGAACGGGTCCGACTAACCTTAGGAAGCTATTCTAAGAGTGAGTCATTATACATGCTGAGAGTCATTTGGAATGGGAATTCACCATGTCATAGTCCACTGTGTGCAATACTCATGAACTCTGGGAGCTGTAGCAAGGCTAGTGCTTTGTGCTATATTCCATGATCTGGTCTGTGGATATCATAATATCCCTTGAATGGTGTTGCTGTTGATGCTAAATGAATAAGTAGATGTGACAGAGAGTGAACACATATGTGTAAGTATAATCTCTTAATGCTTTGAGAATTACATACACACATGCATATAAACAATGTATGTTGACCACATTTTTCCTACATCTACCTCTAATTCCTCCCAGAATCACTACCTGCTTGTCCACCCTCTCTTAAGTTCCTGTTTCCTTTCCAATCAATTGTGTGTTTCTGAAAGCTCTCTTCCTTTACCCCACTGTGCTCTGGTAAACAGCTGTCAGCAAGAGAAGTTCAGTACCTTTGGACCATGGCCCACTTAAAATGCTTCTTCAGTGGGGGGAAAAACCCAACCCAGCTTTAAAACTCAGCATTATCTTAGGATCCCCTTGTTTCAGCTTCCAGGGTAAGACTGCCATTTGTAAACATAAATTCTAGGCTTTTCAAATAAAATACTAGAAGTTATTATACCTGTCAGATGAAACATAAATACACGTCTGTAAAGTTCTTAAGATTTTCTCTTTCACACATTACCTTAGGGGCTGGAGATCTGGCTCAGAACTCAAGAACACTATTTATTCTTTTAAAGGGTTCAGGTTTGGTGACCAGCACGTGTTTGTCTGCTCACAGCCATCTATCACAAATGTAACTGCAGCTCCAGAGGATCTGAGACTGTCTTCTGACCTCCTTGGGTACCAAGCAAGCCCGTGGTGGACATTCATACACACAGGCAAAACATAAATGAGTCAGTGTAAAGAGTGAAAGAACCAAAAAACAAAAAACTACCTTGAATATAAATGGATGTAATTATTCAATTAAAAGAAGCAGTGAGTGAATAGATAAAAACAAGTTCGTAAGAAACTTGGTAAAAGTTAGAAATTGCATAAATTGGAAGCAAAAGAGTTAAATAATATCATCCATGTGTCAAAAACAAAGATAATCATAAGTATAGTAGGCAATATACACTGTGTATTGAAATCAATATACAGAGACAGAAGTTCTCTCTGTGACACTGGGGTCAGTTCTATAAGAAGTAATTCAGTAAACATCCATACAACAGCTGCAGAACTGGAAATTTTCTAAACATCGCATGGAACATTTCTGAGGATAGATACTTTTGTCAACCAGAAAACAAACATTAACAAACTTCAAAAACTAAAATCTCATTAATAATTTTTCAATTAAAATGGAATAAAATTATGAATGAATAACTATAAAAAACCTTAAGTATTCAGCTAAATTAAATTAAGCAAATACTTTGAACAAATAGTGGGTCAGGAAGAGATTAAGAAGAAAATGAAAACGTCTCCAGACAAATGAAAATGGAGTTACGTGAACATGTCCAATATGGAGAGATGCTACAAACTGTGCTAGGAAACATGTTTTTAGCAACTCATGCATCCATATGTAAATTCTGGGGAGTCTGAGATGAAGAGCCTACTGCCTACACCTCAGGAAATTAACGAGGTATGAAAAGTTCGGGAAGTAATGGAGGGAAAGAATAACAATGCGAACAGCAAGAGCTACACAAGACACTATGAAAGTGAGACTCAAAGATTTAAAAAGAAAGTACATGTAAAAGCCAAACCCTTATTGAAGCACTAATGGCAAAAAGCAGATAATGCGATGGAAACCAAGAATAGCATGAGAATATTAGGCTAAATGTGAATACATACTCAAATGCTAATCAAGTCTGGAGGCACCTCAATCAACATGTCCAGAAATAGAGTTTTCCCAGCTAAACTTGTTGACAAATCTACCTAAGTGGTAATATTTAACTACTCTTCCTGGGAGCCTAGGATGTAGATTAATATGAATGTTTGATAAAGGTTTTGTTTGTTTGCTTGTTTGTTTTACCGTCAATGGAATCCTGCAATCATAGTCCTTTGTGTAAAAGACATTTCCTTGAGTTCCATAGACAGCTTGTCAGCAGTTTTTGCAAAGCTGCACTGATGGGGTCATGACCTCTATTTGCTAGAAATATCAGGACCGCAGTTTCTATAACCGTATTAAGCTTCGGACCTTGGAGTTTTCCATTCGCTCTTTGCAGACATTCTAAACATTTCTTCTTTTCCAGGGAAACTTCTGTTTATTTCGTAGTCCTGAGCTCTGGGGGGAAAAGATCTTCCTAACATCCTTAGTGAGAGATGCTGGCTTTGTGTCAGACACCAACAGTGACAATCAATGAGTTCAGGCAGAGAAGGCTTAGCAAATGATTGTAACTAATCACTGCTATTGAGAAGACAAAATTAAGTACAAAAAGGAAATGAAAGCAAGGCAGTTTCTACTTGCATAGTATTGTATAACAAATTTGATTAAAATTTTTATTTGATTTCTTCAGAATAATTAACTTCTGCCTCCTTGTAGTTTACTATCATGAATAATTCCCAGCTCATGCAAATTATTTCAAGTAAAATTAAATCTTTGGATAAGGTTATATCATCATAATTAACAAAGAAAGAAAATAATTTAATTAGAAATATCACTAACTATTTTTACTCAAAGAAATGAAGTTACTGTAATTACACTTGAACAGATAGTATAGAATTCTTTAATGGATAAGTTGAATGTGTCCGCAAGCAAAGAAGTTAGCTTGTGAGTGAGAGAATTAGAGGACATCTAGGGGTTCATCTCTTCTGCAGCATATTCCATGGCACACCAGTATTTATCTGCAAAGTTTTAAATAGAATGACTACAGAAAAGAATTCACTGAACATCTACTAACAATTTTGTGTTAAAATTGTTGCTTTTACAGGTCTCAGATTATCCCTTCACATTTTACTATTTAGGTTCCCATGCATGTACACCTAAAAAATCCCCACCCAAACACCCTCTTAAAATCTGTAAACTTCAAGACATTTTAACTCATTTCTATTTTTTAAAGGATTAGTTAAGGAGTGGAAGAGAGCTACACAATTTCCTGGCTTTCATCATAGTGTTTGAATCACTACATTAAGATAATCATTAAATTTAAGATAATCATTTAATTTAAAAAGTGAAAGTATTTATCAGATGTCTTAGTGGAGGCTGTCAGAATTCTTGTTTTTTTGGGGGGGGCTTTTTGAGACAGGGTTTCTCTGTATGGCTTTGGAGCCTGTCCGAGAACTCGCTCTATGAACCAGACTGGCTTCGAACTCACAGAGATCTCTCTGACTCTGCCTCCCCAGTGCTGGGATTAAAGGCATGCTCCACCAAAACCCGGCTCAGAATTTTTGTAACAGAAAATTGCTGATGAATATAATCCCAGGCAGATAATTTAATGTATACTTTGATATATGACTACTACTCATAAAGCAATCAAAGTGTATACTCTCAACAAATGTCTTTAGTAATATTTAATATATAGTCTAAACAAACAGAGGTTACCAGGAAATGTTACTTTTACTTTAAATATCATTATTTTAACACATGTGTAACTTTCCTTAGGGCATATGATACACTATTATATAAAATGAGATTCATAAATAATTTAAATGAGGCTGTGAAATACTAAAAATTCCTGGTGAAATTAGGAATAAAAGAATAAGGAAAGATTATAGTCATTATATTATAGACCATAGTGTCAGCTGTAGAATATATGATCTTTCTTCTTTAATTAAGGGTAAGAGAACTTTGTGAATACACATTTCTTCTCTGCCCATTAGCAACTCTATGTGGTTTAGTTACATACAGGAAATTAAATACTTTTCTGCAATTATCTTATTTGTGTTATAGTACTTTTCCTGGGGTTTCTATTTCAATTCAACCCAGGTAGAAAGGGTAAAAACACATCGAAGAAATAATTCCATCCACAGACATCTTGATGTCAAAGGCTTTATTAGACTTCCAGATGGGCACATGTGATACTTACAGAGGCATGAGTGATAGTGACAGCTGCAGTACTGATAGTTTCCCCTCCTGTATGAGTGGCAGGTTTCAGGAAAACTCTTCACAGAGTCCTCTGTATTTGTGCACAAATACCTTACTGAATAGTGTCCCCTCCCCTGGTGACCGATTAGTGCTTATACAGTCTTTGGAATGTATTTCATGAGATTTTTTTTAGCTTCTGAGTCTTGATTAATGAGATTTTTGTCCTTTCTCCAGAAGAGACCAAATCCGCTTAAGAAGCTGCATGACAGATTCTATCATTCATTCTTTTTCATCTTCTGTGATGTCTCATGAGCCTTGGGAGGGATAATAACAATGTGTTATTTTGTGTCCTTATGACTGGGAATTTTGTGACTATGCTGTACCAACCGTCATGTATTATCAAGAATTTAGACCTATAGGGAGGAAACAAACCAACCAACCAAAGAACCAAAAACCAAAAAACAATCCCTGATTGTGAGACAGCTAGCCATCTATTGCCGTGCATGGGGCCTACTATTTTATTTACTTATGTATTTGTTTGTTTGTTTATTACTCATGTATTATATTCAAACAACAATTTTCCATTGGTCCCCTCCCCAAACTTCCTCCTCTCCCCCAGATACACCCCCCTTTGGCTTCCCTAAGAAAAGAGCAAGACTTCTGGGACATCAACCAAACTCAGCACAGTACACTAAAACAGGAGCAGGCACATACCATCACCAGACACAATATAGTAGGAGGAAAAGGGTCAGAGACTGTCCCTTGTCCCACTGTTAGGAATAGCACCAGGATGCCAAGCTACTCAGTCATAACATACATTCAGAGGACCTAGGTCAGACCCACGAATGCTCCCAGAGTCCCAGTCAGTCGAGTCTGTGCATAGTTTTCACTGGTTCTTTACTATTCTAATTTTCCTATCTTAAAGAGTAAGGATATTCTTTAGTACCAATTATGTTTAACTCATATGACTTCTAGTATGTAAAATACACTGGACATTAAGTATGTGGGGAGTCCTCTTACTTTTATTCCATGTGAGTTGTGAGTATCCATTTGTTCTCACATGATGCGGTGAAGCAAACTTTCTCCGAATAATCTAATACATTTCAAGTATCCATCATCATAAAAGCTTGACTCTATTTCTGTACGCTGCAATCTGTTCCACCAATCTACATTCCTATTCATAAATTAATGTCTGTCTTAGTTAGTATAACATTAGAACAAATTGGTACATCTGATGGCATAAATCATGTTAATGGGGTTTTCTTTTATTAAGCATTTGTTTTGCATTCTAGATCCTTAAATTTCTTGAAGACTTCATGTTTATCATGTGAATTTATATTAAAACATTTTGAAATTTTATTGTGACATAAAATGAAAAAAATTAGTCTGTTGGATCTTATGTCATATGATCGATTTTCTACACAATTTATATATAATTTCCACATATTTATAATGGCGCACACATTGACTTAGATTATAAGTTAGCTTGTCCAAGCGGGCCTTGTATTCTGGGAAGCAAACAGGCATATGAGAATTAGATGTTCATGACTCAGTTATAAATGTAGCGATCAGAAGCCGTCCCATCCACTAGTCGACAGGTTGGGTTGATGCATTTTTATTCTGATTTGTCAATCTTTCTTTTGCTCTTGTGTCTCCTTGCTTTGATTATCTGATCAATGTTATAAGATATACCTCAGAAGCATTGGAGCATGTAGTGTGAATTTACACATTCATTTATATGTTTACTCATTTTATTGTTGAATTACAAAATTGTCAGAAGCTATGCAAACATTAAAAAAAGAAATGATGTATACATATAATTGTGTAGATATCCTAAAAATAATTCTATAAACTAATTTTAGGAGCTTTGCTGAATGTAAACTATCCCTTCCCTTTATTAATTATTTTATGTATTTGTGTGTGTGTGTGTGTGTATGTGTGTGTGTGTGTGTAGTATACATGTGTCGTGGTGCAGGTGTGGAGAAGCCAGAGGACAAAACTTTGGAATCTTTTGTCTTCTCCGTGGGTTCTTGGATGGAATTCAGGTTATCTGGCTTGGGTGACAAGTATTATTACCCACTGCACCAACGCAGTTGCAGAAAATTCTAAGATGCTGAAAATTAATAATGCTTTTATATCCTCGACATCCTATTCATCTACCTAAAAAATCACTTACTTGTAGTTTCTTGGTGTATTTCTTACATATGTATTCCTCATTTATAACTTTTCACAAATCTTTTTGATTATTCACCTATACTTGCAGTGGCCAGGGTTCCCTATAGAAATGGATAATGTATGTGAATCAGAATGAATTGATTTTGTAGGACTGACTTGTTACTATCGTTTCCATTCTAAAATAATTACACATTCTGAAAACGTTCTATGAAATAGGTATAAAATAAAACAAGTCTAGCAGACTTTATTTCCCCTCAACAAAAACATTTCATTCAACTATTTACCTGCCCCTTTGTTTTAGCTGTTCAGCATACAATATTTCTGTAACACAGATTATGGTCTTCAGATAAAACACACAATGGACTGCATTCACTCAAATCATCAGTGAAAGGAAATCTACTTGAATTACCTCTTGTCCCTTATTTGATCGCAGGGAAAGGAAAAGTAACACTTTCGCATACTGTTACTGTCCTCAGTCTAAACTGACATATTTAAATAAGCATAGTTTTTGTTAGTAACAGGATTGCATTGTTTCTATAGTTATGGTTATTTTAATTACTTATACAGATTGTATATCAACTATATAACCCTGCCATCATAAGCGTAGAGTTAAAATTTTTAAGTTATTTTGAACACGTATGACTGCAATTTTATGTTATTACTTTGCTGTTGGTAAATAGGAATTATTTTTATCTCTCAAAGTTTTACTTATAAGTGCTCAAGTGAGAGAGAATGACTCAAAACTAAGATCTCCTCATAGCATTGATAGCATAGAAAAAATATATTTTCCCTCTAAGAGGGACATTTCCTCCAGTCAAGGCCACAGAGTGATAGCAGCTAATTGTGGTTCTGAGTAATAATATTTTGACAGAAAATTGAAATTTTATTAAAATATTACCTGTAGTTATATACATTAACAATAAAATCACAGTAAGAAATTAAATTATGAATTTGTTTCTCTAAATCTTTGCTGTATGTAAGAAAATCATGATGTAGCATTCTAATTTCCAATACATCTCTCATGTGGGTTACTTACCAAGAGAGAGTATATTAAATCAAGAAGATAAGCTGTTTAGTAAGCTAAATCACAATTAAACATAATTAAGCACCTAATGTTTGTAAATAAGCACACGAAGAAAAACTTCTCCAAGACTTAAATGAATAAATATAACAACTAAGATATTTAGTTGGAATATAATAAACATTTCAAAATATTAAATTCTAATATTTATAATTATGTATATGTGTGTGTTATGTGTGTGCAGGTGTCCAGAGATGCAAGAACTTCTGGAGATGAAGTTAGTGGTGTTTGTGAGCCATCCATGTTTATGCTGGGAATCCAGCATGTGTCCTTTAAAAGACTGAAAAATGCTCTTAACTGCTGAACAATTTCTCAAGTCCAAGTCACAGTTCTTTTCTTTTGCTTTATTTTGTATTTTAGTGTGTCAGGTGGAAAACAGGGACTTTTGGATGTCAAACAATTGCTCTAGTGATTATTTTACATGCCTAGTCACCAATGTACTGAGGATTTGAATTTGCAAGATTGGAAAGAAAACATGAAAACTTATAGCAAGACAAAAACAATTGGCATATAAAAGCTGTTTTTGGTTAATCTAACAAGGCACATTTTACATTAATGACTGTGTGGGACACTGAAACTTTTTCTAATAACGAAGCACTTTTGGCTCATCATAATACAAAAATGTGCAGAGACAGATACACTTTTTTGAGGAGTAAGTCCAAATGAATCTAAAGTACATTTGCATTTATGAAGTGTCTGCCTTTAATAATCAGAACACAAAGTAGTGAAAATAATATACTTGCTAAATATTTTAACTGAAAACAATATTTTAGAGGAGAAATTGAGATAGAAGTCACAGATGGAATTTTTGAATATAAAAAGGACCGTTTCATAAAGTGATAGATTTGTTGGTGGCCCTTTCACAAAAGATGTAGGGGGTCCCATCAGGAGACAGGAGATGGGATGTTGCACTTAATTTTTAAGTCTTATTTTTGACGAAGTTGCTATTCCAAAATAGCAATGTGAATGCTTCTAAAATAAGAGGGCAGAAGATAATGAAGTAATGAAGTAAAAACAAAATGAAGATTAGTGTGAGATGATTATTTAAAAATGTATATTTGTAAGACTTTCTGTAGTTTAATTTCTTTTTAAATAGAAGAAAGGCAACAGAAGAGAGAGATAAGAAAAATAAAACAGTACAGGGGAGATGGAATTTTATAATGAATTCCACAAAAGCTTTGCCACATATAAAAAAAATAAAAAATCATTATATAAAGCGATTAATATGCTTGGTTAATTTAATCATTTGGTGGCCCACGCCTTTAATCCCAGCACTCGGGAGGCAGAGGCAGGCGGATCTCTGTGAGTTCGAGGCGAGCCTGGACTACAGAGCAAGTTCCAGGACAGCCTCCAAAACAATACAGAGAAACCCTGTCTCAAAATACCAAAAAAAAAATAGTTTTCAGAATAGTTACAACAGTGAGCTCTTGTTTTCGATTATTTTCAAAGCTTGTTTAAGACAATTGATCTGTTCTATTGTCCTTTAACACAAGGGACAGATAGGTACCATCTGTAGGATTTCCTCCTGTCCTTAAGTGCCCATCAGTATGACACACTGGAAAAAACCAGCCATCACCACATATCCAATATGAGGATTTGTCAAAAAGGTTAGCTTCATTTGTACTTGATAGACCGTGACTGATTAATGAAGAGATATTTCTCTGCCTTGTTTATGTTCTTAGCACACTTGCTAAGCCTCTTTAGGACTAATTGAAGGTACATGCAGAAGGCAATACAAACCTAGAAAATCTCCAGTCTTTCAAGCACAAATGTAATTAGTAAGCGTCTACTTTTAAAATCTCCTTTTGATTATTTCTTAGAACATTTCCATTAACTACATTTACGCAATTCATTTCCAAATTGAGAAATGAGACACAGCCAGAAAACATATAATACAAAAGCAACTTCAAAAGAGAATAATTGTTTCTTTTAACCACCCCTAGCATTTCGCTTTATTCCATTTAAAAATAAATAACTGTACTTTGTCTGTATACTTTGTCCTTTGCCTTCTAATTTACTTTCTATAGGACCTCCAGGAGGTACCATACGTAATTCCACCTTTCACAGGGGAAGCTGCAACTGCTAGGTTTCAATAAATGTGTTCTGGTAATAACTTTTAGTTCTGAAAAGCAGGATAAACTGTGTCATATTCAGTCCTAGTCCTACATTACCACTTCCTTTAAATGAAAGAGAAATCATTCTGGTTGCTAATGAAATTTGCATGTATATAAAGTAGAAAATCATATGCCTTTACATAAACGCCAGAAGAAAAAGCAATTGCAGCTGGCTGTTGAAATACTTGGCTCTTGTGTCCACCTGGCTAATGAAAAAAAAACCCTAAAGGCAGCTGTACTTCCAACAGTTTCCTTTTCTTTTTAAGTACATTTTGAAGGCAAGAGGAGGGCATACATGATTCCAGAATTCTTTTGTATGTAAATGCATGTTTGCATTAAAGAGAAAAGTCACTTCTTTTTTAAATGTTTCAAAGACTCGATATGAGATTCAGATTTTTGTATTTAAATATTATACAGTTTAATTAGTTAAAATTTAAAATGTCAAAACTGCATATGTATATTATTGACATAAATCCATGGTATATAGTGTTGGGTTTCATAAACATATTTTTGTACACATAGGTCATGTATTCCATCATTTTCTTCTCATTTTGACAATGGAAACCTACACTCTTGTCAGTAGTTTAATTTCTATATTCATAGGTGAATTTATGAGTTTAAAGGAGATAGTATTCATCACTGAAATAAATAAACAATTTTTGTTTCAGTGTGGCTTATTTTGCTTAATGATGATCTCTAGCCATGTCCATTTTCCTGATGATCACAAAAATTACATTCTTTATGACTGAATACAACTCCAAGAGAGAATTAATAGATGATATTTTCTTTATAGCTCCATTGGATGATGGACATATGGATTGATTCCATAACCTGGATGTAGTGACTAGTGCTTCAATAAAGTACACTTATCTCTGTAGTACTGTACTTTTGGTCTTTGCTAGGAGTGGTAGAGAGGGGTTCAGATGTCTGACCTGGTTTTGGTCTTCTGAAGGACTACCATACTGATTTTCACAGCATTAGCTTAACTTATGTTCCTCAACAATATAGGAAGATTGCCTTCTCTCCACAACTTCACCAATATTGGTTACTACTTATTTTCTTAAGGATAGCTGTTTTGACCAAGGTGAGACGGGAACTCAATACAGTCTTAAGCTACATTTTGTCAATTGCTAAGAATGTTATTTCCTTACATGTTTACTGGTCAATTGCAATATTAGTTTAAAGAACTGTATGTTAATTTCATTAGCCCACTTATTGACGGAGTAGTTTGGTTTCTCAAGTGTTTTGAGTTCTTTATATTGTTGATATTAATCTCATCTGATGCTTATCAGGAAGTCCTGTCTCATGTTCTGAAAGCTGTCATTTGTCTTTGTTTCTTTTTTCTCAAAAGAACCTTTAGCAATTTCCTCCATCAATTCTTTTTCTTCTCTTCTTTTTTGGCCTGGGCTATTATAGTCCTGTTTGGAAACTATTTGTCTATTTCTTCATTGTGCAGCACTTTTCCTAGATTTGAGGGATTCCTTTTATAATTTTGTAGAATTTCTTTTATTCATGCTTGGTCTTTTTTTTAATTGATTGTTACTTTGTCTGGTTCGCTTGTTTTTTAAAGACGAGAGAAAGAAATGACATGGAGTTGGAGTTGTGTGGGTGTGGAGGTGGGTAGGATCTGGGAGGAGTTGAGGAAGGGGGAAGTGATCAGAACACATTGTATGAAAAAATACATTTTAATTTAAAAAATCACAAGGTTTCGTGCTGGGTTGAATTAACCAGTGTACAAGTTTCTCTTTGTCTTTTATATATCAACCATACTAAATACAGTGGAGGTCACTGGTCATAAGATAATGTAATATGGTTTGTTTTAAGACATAACATACACTAGTTAATGAAATATGCTCATTTATTACTATGGCCCTGAAACTTCCCTTACAGTTACTGATAACTCTGCAGGCTGTGTTCATAATGATAACCAAGGAGAGTCAGTTTGTTAATAATACCATAAAAATGCTAGCTACATGAGAAGACCTTATGTTTGCAAGAATGAACAACTGGTCCAGTTAGCACTTTCTTTTCACCATCCTGAAGTATTGTTATTAGCTTGCCTTTAAGTGTATATTTTAACTGTTCTCTGCGTTACCTTTTGCGTGACAATATTTCATGTAATCAACAATTTTATTTTAAGAACATTGTGATAAGGTCTCATCTAAGCCATGTCTTTCCAAGTCAGTCATGACTTTGAACCTCTGATTTTTCTTGTCTCTGTCCCCCAAGTGCACGGATTCTCAGTATGGCAGCTATGATCTAATTTAATCTTCAATCACATATTTTTACAGCAGCTGTAGGAAACTGGACTTCATTTAAGTTCATTTGTTTTTAAAATTTTATTTATTTAATTTAGAAACAATCTTATTTTACATATCAATCCAGTTCCCTCTCCGTCCCATCCTGCTATCCTCCCATCCCACCACCCATCCACTCCCCAGGGAGGGTGAGGCCTTTCATGGGGGATCATCAAAGTCTGTCACATCATTTGGGGCTGTGCCTAAGCCCTCTTCCATGCATCTGGGCTGAGAGAGTATCCCTCCATGGGGAGTGGGCTCCCAAAGTCCATTTGTGAACTTGGGATAAACACTGGTTTTACTGTTAGAGATACCATAGACTGCCCAGGCCTCCTAACTGGCACCCACATTCAGAGGGCTTGGGTTGGTTCAATGCTAGTCCCCTTGCTTTAGGACTGGAGTCCATGTGCTCTCACTTGCTTCAGGTCAGATGTTTCTGTGAGTTTCTCCAGCACAGTCTTGACCTCTTCGTCCACCTGCCCTCTCTCTCTGTAACTGGATTCTAGGAGCCTTCATCAAGTAGCTGATGTAAGCAGAAGCAGATATCTACAGCTAAGCACTGAGCCATACTCCTGGAATGAAAGGTCATTCTAAGAAGCAAATTATAGTTGCTTGTATTTTTCATTATACCACCCATTCTCACTGTCATAATATCCATTCCTAGTTTTCATTTTCCATTTTAGTGCCTGAAAATTATAATTATATATTGGACATCAGAATTTTTATGCATTGTGAAAACTGCCTTAATGAAGTTTTCTTCTTATTATTAACGAAGGAAAATTGATTTTATTGACATGTTTTACTCTGCACTTTTTCTCAGCTATTCTAACTATGTTGCCACTGTGGATTTGTGGTTTTTTTAAGTGAAACTATCATTAGTTGTATGGCTGATTATAGTTGGTATTGAATGCACAGATAGTATTAAGATATTCTTAAAGATAATAGCCCAATGATCATGAATTTTAGTACTCTCTCCAAGTATAGTTAGCTTATGTGAGAGGAGACACCAGGAAGTTGTGAAGCAAACAAACAAAAACAAACAAAAACCGACAGAATGCTTCCAAGCCATTGTTGCCATTTCATACTGACCTTTATGTTTGTAGTGTTAGTTACAAGAAATCTAAGATGCTATCACACAATTTTTCTGCATTTTCAATATAGATTACCAAATACTGAGGATTTGTATAAAAATCAACAGAAAGTAAATTTTGTTTTATTTAAGTCATACATTGTAATTGCCAGTTCTAGGTCAGTCTTACTTTTCAGGCAAATGCTAAAACACCTCCCAATGCCATGGAGAGTTTGAGAATATCTGACTCTTCAAAATGTTGAAACAGGAATGAGTCAGTATTTTCAACTTAAATAACAGATTCTTCACAGTTGTTTCAGAGTGAGAGAGATAAAAGGAAATTACAGTCCAATACATGCTGTTTTAATTCTGATTAATTTTGACTAAATGATTATAGGTTGTTTGGTAAAAAACACCTCCTTACCTTACCAGGAGCTACAAGTACTGCTGGCAATTCTACATTCTCTGAAGCAATAGAGTGACTACTGTGGAGTAAAGCATAAAGATCCTTGCTTTTCCCCCTTCAAGATTAACTGTGGACTTTGTACAGATATTTATTTGCTCACATGAAATTATGATCTATATCTATTAAATGCCATTTAATTTTATTGACAGAAAGAGAGAAATACTACATTAGTTCTAACATGATTGGTGCTGGAGAATAGAGTAAGTTAATTATTAATGAGAATTATATTTTACTTGTGCCAAAGAGGTGTTTAACATAATATATGTGCATATGAGTTATAGGAATATTCAATAGTATTAGCAAATTATATGTGGAGAAAGAAACTATAGCAATAAAACTATAAAATCTGAATCATATTTCTCAACGTTGATCTCTATTAGCTTCCTGAGTAAGGACTTCAGAATGACGCTCTAAGAAGTAATGTCGTTCTAGGTTGGAATTATAAATTTTTGTTGCTAAAATGCAGATTGTTCTGTATTTTAACATCACTTTATGATGTCAAATTTCAAACATAGAGTTTCCCTTCATCGAGTTATTCTCAGATTTTTGGCAGAAAATGTTTATCAAATATTTCTGAAAGATAACTATTTCTGAAAAACAAATTATATAATGAATCAAGAACAAATATATTTTTCTTTCATTGTACAATCTTGTTAATTAGTGGAGAAGGAAGAAAAAAACAGGAAATGTTTTTCTTTGTGAAACAGACAAACTTTTTTGATGAAGTAAAATTCCCATTCACAGTTATGATCAACTCACTGATTTTAATTAGCTATCATGTTTGTGAAACACTATATCACTACATGTATATACATCATATGTATATATCTACACAGCATAAAGGTTTCATGTATATATATATATATATAAATATATCATCACAGATTTTAGCTATAAAGTTAAAGAGTGTAAATAAAATATTGTTGCATTAATAACTTATGACTTGAGGAATGGTTTGTGTATTAATTATAGTATATGATTTATAACTTAATAGTTATAGTTTGTGCAAAAAAAGGATTGTGATTTCAGACTGATTTTAATCATTACAACTAGCTTCAAACATGTTTATCATTTAAACTACGAACCATTGCAGTCAAACCATTTTGCCAGCAAAAATGAATTGGTTCATACCTGTACTGTAAAGCTCCAGACTTTGAGATCAAACTCTTTTTTGTTTTTCACCCCTCGGGATTTTATTTAAATTAGAAACAATCTTATTTTAGATATAAATCCCAGTTTCCTCTCCCTCCCATCCTCCCATGCTCTCCCAACCCCCCCATCTCATCCCCCTTCTGCTCCCCAGGGAGGGTGAGGCCTTCCATGAGGGAATCATCAAAGTCTGTCATATCCTTTGCAGCAGGGCCTAGACACTCCCCCCGTGTGTCTAGGCTGAGGGAGTATCCCTCTATGAGGAATGGGATCCCAAAGTCCATTCATACATTAGGTTGTCCTGGAACTTTCTCTGTAGACCAGGCTGGCCATGAACTCACAGAGATCTGCCTGCGTCTGCCTCCCAAGTGCTGAGATTAAAGGAATTTGCCATGAATGACCAGCTCCTTTGTAATTCTTTCAAACAATTTTATATATGTTTGATCAAAACATGCAAAAATTCAGGTCACACATCATTTTCATGGAGAGAGCCAGATTAAACTGCTATTTTGGAAAGGTAACAAAAATAACAAAACTACTATTCCCTAAAACTCAGTTTTTTTCTCAAATAAAATAATTTTCTCATACTTTAGCAAATGTTTGTGATTCAGCCACTTTTTCCCCCAACACCAGAGTTTTGTTGTAACAATTCTCTCATGGTATTTTTCAACATAGACACGTCTTTTATTTGTGTTTTTGTTTTTGTTTTTTTATGAGACAGGGTTTCTCTGTATTGTTTTGGAGGCTGTTGGTCCAGCCCGGCCTCGAACTCACAGAGATCCACCTCCCTCTGCCTCCCGAATGCTGGGATTAAAGGCGTGTGCCACCACCGCCCAGCAGAACACGTCTTTTAATATCTGTGTAGAAATTTACTTTCTGGACTTATTTATAAAACTCAATATTTTGTGAGGAATCACATAAAACTTATTAGAAAGTAGAAAAGACAAACATTATTTAATTATTTGTGCCTTTACAGCCTATTTGTGGATATATTATTCACAATACTCACAGATAATCAAAATAGCAGGAAAAAAATCCAGTATCATTTTATTTTCTTAAAGAATTGTATAACCACTGATCGTATAACCACTTTAGACCTTGTTTAATTTCATTTTTTTCAACTTAAATACTTTAATTTGTTAAAAATGCAACTTGTTTGTTCCCTTATGAAATCTGTCCAAAGGAGGGAATATGTCCAGCATCCATGGAGCTGTGCTTTGACCCTCTTCACTGGGTATTTCTTCAGATCACCGAGGCTTGAGGGCAATCATGGTACAGATGTTCAGATGGAATAAATCTAACTTAGCTAAGTAACCCTTAGTTTTAAATGTTGTGCAGCCCATATGTTGTTACTCTTGGCTCTCTTGTTCTCAAAATGTTTTCTTAGCAATTTGTCCACGTGGCTGCCTATCTTTTTAATTAATTCATTCTTATTCTGTACATTATCCTATTGTGTGCTTACCACTATATATGAATCTAGTCTGAGAAGGATCTTGATGTCTTGTCAACTCAGAGTTCTTGTCATACAGGAGGCATAACTTAAGTTGTGACACATTAAAAAGAAAGAAATCTTGACCCCTTTGCTCATATTATCGCTCCTCCCTCTCTATGAATGGACTCCAGGAGTTTGGCTCAGAGCTTAGCTGTGGATCTCTTCATCTACTTCCATCAGTTAGTGGATGAAGGCTCTATGGTGACAATTAAGGTAGTTATGTGGTGGGGGAAGGGGAGGGGAGCAGGAGGATCGAAGGAAGAGGGAACTGGGGTTGGTATATAAAATAAGATTGTTTTAAAAAATTAAAAATAAATAATAAAAAACAAGCCAAAACAAACAAAAATAAGTCTTAGTACCAAATTTAACAAATATTTTCAGCAGGATTTGATCAGATTTTTTTTCTCACGTGTCCCCATTGAAAGGAGGATATAGGTTATAGGCCAAATTCTGTCCCAAATCCTTGTCTTCTCATTCAGGAAGATATATTTAATTTCTTACTAATTTATTAATTCATATCCTCCCTTCTTTAAATCTATGTGCGTATATAATATATACCCACATATATACATATGTATATATGTGTATATCAATATGATATGAAGACTACTTCATAGCATTTTCTAGTTGCACTCCTATTTACCAACACCATTTTGATTTTGTTATAAATAAATTTATTATGGATGGATGGATGTGTTTCTATGTTGTGTTGTGTGTCCATTATAAATTTTGATGATAATTATCTAAGTCATTCAACATAATCTTATATTTTGTTTACTACCAGACACTGCAGTATACATTTTTCTGTGTTGTTATCAACATTTTAACCGAGTTACTTAGGATTTAGTATAGAATTCTTATACAAGTGTTCCTAACTTTATACCTTGTGATTTCATTCTGAGTAAAAAGAGTATTTATTAAACCTTCCTTCTCATGTACTCATATATGATGTTAACTGTTATAGGATTTCTGCCCGGTTCTGAAGCCACCTCAGAGACCCCAAATAAACACTCAGATGTTTTATTAATTATGAAACTGTTGGTTGTTGGCTAGGGCTTCTTATTGGTTAGTTCTGTTTTAATTATGCACCCATTTCTATCAATCTATGTATTGCCACAAGGCAGAGGCTCACCTGGTAATGCCCAGCATGGTGCTATTCCTCTGGCAACCTACATGGTGACTGACTTTGCGTATGTTTCCCAAAATCCTCTTCATCTCCTAGTCCCACCTATCTTGCTGCCCTATTGGCCAACAGTATTTTATTCACCAACCAATAGGATAAACATATACAGAAGATCATTCCTCATTAGTTACCACACTTGATCTTGATATATTATGTTTTCAGCAGTTTGCTAGATAGCTGTTCGGGTCACACAAATCATTGAATAACTAGTTTTATTTCCTCTTTCTTTGATCTCATTACAGTATCTAGAACTTAATGGACTGTATTAAAGGTGGCAGTGGGTGCTCTTTTGTTTTTGTCTTGATGTCACCAGTCAAAAATTTGTCCTATTTGTAATGGATTCCCCTTAGTAAAGGAATTCCCCACTATCCTTCACTAAGTGATATTTGTATGGGTTATATATAAGGTGCTGCATGTGTTCTGAGATCCTGGGTCAGTCTAGGTGCCAAGCACAATAAATCCCTGTTTTATTTTTCTTACTCTCTGTAAATATGCTTTTACAATCGTCAACAACAGATTTCATTTTAAATATACAAACAAACAAAATTCAATATAAACACTACAGTATTTTGCACATTCTTAGGTAGAACTAATAAAATCCTCTTAACTGAGCTCTGGTCTTCTGGTAAGACAATTCTGGTAGGAGAGAATTTCCTTTGCATATCTTTCCACAGTTCTTTCTGGCCTGGTTTCTCATGTGTTTGTTTTCCTGTTGTCCCATTGTGTTTCTGCAGATTACCTGGGCCTCACCTGTTAGGTCAGCTCTCTCTCACAGAGCTCTCTCTCCTGGCCTTCATTTACATTTTAAAGTAATTTCCATACAATGCCATAGAGAAAATTTCTCCCTGAGTCTCACACCTCATAATATTTCTGCCCATGATAACTCAATCATTTCTCCAAAATCAGTGAGGTCTTTCTAATAGGTATAATAGTCGCCTTCTTCCTTTCCTGTATCCTAAATATACCCTGGATTACTTCAATACACTTAAGTAGCACTTACCGAATTCTCTGTTATTATAATCCTTCGTGAATACCAGCAGTCAATTCAGTTCTACTTACCTTCTGAAAGGGTCCCAGTTTGGTCTTTTCTTTTGCTACCTTGGGTTCTTTCCTTTCTTATCTCAAGTTTGATACATAGTCCTTCCATTACAGACTCCGGCTTTTCCATTCTTAATGCCCAGGGCGGATTTCCTCACACAGCATGATGGCCTTCAGTGTCAAGGCTAAATCCCCCATTT